GGACTATCGATTATGATGTCATATTTTACATCTTTTATCAAATTATGATTTATACCGTAAAATTTACAATACTGCGATTTCTTTGGATTATTCTGACACTATGTAATCGAATCCTGATAAGATAGAAGGTGCAAATGGATTCGTAAAATCATAATTATTTTTTAATTGGTGTAACTTTGGGTTCTATAAGTCCAGAAATTCTATACGTAATTTTCATCTATCTAAAAGCTTCTTTAATCACATTCAGATGAAGCCTGTTATAATTTCATACATTTGTTTGCAATTAATTTTTTCCTCGGCTAAGACGAATTTTTACAATTATTACCTGATACCTTGAATGATTCCACATGCTCAACAGGAAATATCAATGAAAATGAGCTGCTTGTTAAGTTGAAAAGCCTATGTCTAGACCTTGGCATAGCTAGTGATCAATTACCAAATACTTTATATCACCTAAATACTTTCATGGAAAACTATTTTAAAGGTAGCAATAATTTTACTTTAGAAATTTTATCTTCTATTAATTAGATATAGTGGATATTAATAGCTAATAAAGCACTTTCTTCCTAATAATTGAATATGTATGATTAGATGAAATGGAAAGGTCTAATGCCTTGTTCGTCTTTGACGATCTCTGGGATGAATCTTATTATCAATATCTGACATTTGCTAATCAATCAGTCACAACTTCCAGATTTAACATTTCCGAAAATAATCTGACCGTTATAAGAATAGAAGCGCCGGTTGGTAAAAATCTAAACCTGTACAATTAATCAACGATTAATAGTCATTTGTAGAACATAAATATAATCAGCTACTAGTATCTTTTTTAAGCTTGCTTGACAAATGTTGTTTATTAAAACTCAAAAGCGGATAATATTGAGTAATTAAGTAACAAATATGTTTGTAGCTATTAAAAAGGATATTTACTGTAGCTCCTTCTTCAAAGACTGGATTATTACAACTGCTAGATTGTCATCAATGTTTTACTATTTAAAAACGTGAATTCTTATTAATTTTCTGGTTTTCTACAACCTAATTTTATTATGAAAGGCAATATTGACTGATCATGAAGCAATAGATTTACTATCTAAGCATGGTAGCTTTCAAGATTTAGAAATAAAACTGGAAAATTTGCTATTTGCAGTAGTAGACAAAAGTGAAAAAAATCCTTTCATACTAGACTTAATGGGAGCATTGCTACGGCAAAATTCCGAAATTTGTGATAATCTTATATCGGAAACGCATGGCATTGACAATATATATAATAACACTTATGGAGCAAAGGAAATCATCAATTTATCTATCCAGCAATTAGATGATAACCAAAGGCAGCGATTCCGATGTCTGGGTGTATTTCGACCAGTGCAAATTACAATTTCTTCAGTTGCCGCTATATGGAAATGCAGTCAGGATGAAGCTATTCATTTACTACAGTATTTTCATCAGCGCAGATTGGTAAAATATTTGAAATTAAAGGCGTAAGTATCAGCAAATTTTTCATTTATTGAACTAGTTAACTATGTCAGTTTCGTTCGAATCGATAACTAACAACAATAGCACTTTAACCTTATTTGAGGCACCATCTCAAATACTACTTTGGTGTTCGTACCAGTTGGATGCTTCTACAGAAATTTGAGCAGTACAAGCTTTACTCTAAATTAATAAAAAAGCTGCTATTTTTATTATATTCTTTCTAGAACAATTTACCTACATGATTTAGTGATTGATTATTTGCAAAAGCCAGAAGATAGTAGTGAGGTCTCTGAGTACTATAGCCGTGAGCTCAACAGGAAACTAATAGGAGGATATAAATGGCAATGTGAAGGGAATTGGCATCTCATTCAAAATGATAATTATTACCACCAGTATCTCGTATATGACGCGATTCATGCCGAAGCTGACGAATTACTGGATACTCTATTTCGAGATTTTAACTGGATAGCAGCTCATGTAAATGAAGTCAAATCACTGCATTATCTAGATTTTAGTTTGCAAGAATACATTCACTATTTAGTAAGAAAACGCCAGGTAAGATTAGGATAGCTAGATGCAGTAAATTAACGCCAGTTTTCACTAACCAAAATCAGTAAATCAAAATTTAGTTTAAAACAAAATTTGCAAATATACAGGAACTCTACTGGAATATTAATCTTACAAACAGGACGTTACTTTAAATTGACTTCTGATATTTTTGTAGAGCACAACAAATATTCAAGAATTACTTTATTTATTCCGTCGTTATGATGGTATCCTTGATTGGGCATCGTTAGATGTAGTACAGTTTTTATTGAATTGCTCTCGAAAAGGAAGTTGGATAGCTAATAGAGCAACTGAATTGGCTCGTACTAATATAAAAATCAATAAGGGAGCGTATTACTCTATTATAGCGTAAGTTTATATATTCTGATCGTAAAGAAATTTTGATGCTATTGCTCATTATTATGATTAAATGCGGTTAAAATATTTGGACATTTTCTTAGCTATACTAGCGAAAATATTGAAGAGAGTTCCTTTAAAACGTCAAAGCATTTCGGGTTATACGAATCCGATGTATTACCTAGATGCTGTAAATCCCGTAAAAATAATTTTAGAATCGTTGGAATCAGTCAACAGTTCGAGAATTGCAACATTATCGTAAGATTACATGAAATTTTATTCTTTAAACAGTGAATTTTTCGTCAATTTTATACTACAACTTTATTATATTATGAAATACTGATGGCTGATTAACGTCTGCAATACCTTATATAGCGATTGTTTAAATGTAATCTTTATATATTTTAACATTACTAAGATGGTGTCTCCTCCTTATTATTATATACCGATACGTATAGGTGAAAGCGTATATTAATGACAGCAAAGATCAACAGTTTAAGGAAGTGTTCAGGCTCGATCTTGGAAATCGACTAATTTCTGAAGTTAGAATATCGCCTGATGGACAACTTGTTGCATACGGAATATATCGCAGTCACGATATCTTGGTAAATTAAGTAGTCACTTTAGTACCAGTTTTATTTTACATGATTTACACTTCGTTTAAATAATATGGTCTTGCAGCAAAACTGTAAGATAATTTTAAGAGAGTTTACATTCAATTCACATAAATACTTTTACAAATACAACCTAGACGTAAATGTTGTGATCCAATTTCTTTTATAAAAAGTGAAAAGGTTGTCTTTGCTATACTGAACTTATATGCTATTTTTTACTTTACGTATTTTATAATTAGGAATGGAAAGTTTTGAATATTGATTCACAGTGTCCAGTTAAATTTGCTATCAATTCTTCACAAATTTCAAGAACAGTAGATTCCATAATATGTCATACGTTGGAATTTTGTCCAGAATTGGATTCTAATCCATTACTGGTAGCTTGCAAGGATAAGGAAATTGTGGTAAGTCGTTCGTCCAAGTATTGTTGACATTACTAGATATACCTATGCTTAGTTTTTGTAATTTGTAATTTCGGCATGCGAAGTGAAATTTGCATCGCATGACCAGGAAATGTGAGAATAGAATCTACCTCAATTTCTAGTGTTGCACTGAGCTTTCCAGTAGCCTAAAGTTCACCCAATTTTCCCTGATTAAGTTTAGAACAATTAAAATTAATTTTCATTAAATGAAACGGTACGCGATATCGCGAATAGAACTTTTTTCTATGTTCAGAGTTTCATCAATTTCCCTATTTCTCATGAAGTAATAGCTGTGAAATTTTAATGATATTGGCATTAAAGCAATGGAAGTAAAAAGATTTTACTTTGACAGTATCATTAATTAAAAAATGTTGGTGGTAGTAACAAAACACTCCTTTGGTAAATTCTAACTGATAATTTTATTACGTCAAGATTTGGAGAATCAATGGTAATAATGTCGCAAATACGAACCAATCTATACGCTGTCAGCAAGTGATTAGGAGATGCGAATTCGCAACTAATTCCTCAGAGCTTTTAGTTTGGTCTTGTAGCTACGAATATAGCAAGTTTATGCGTTTCATAAAATTGGATCAAATAGAAAAATGTCAAATCAAAGTGGGGTTATTTTGGGTCTAATTACTTTATTCTTAAAATTTATATTGATTACTTGATCCCTGATGTGGAGCAATTCATTTTCAGATTTGGAACTTGAATCATGTAGAATCTCAGAAAGAGCTCAAAGTCTATCCGTATATGAGTGTAAAGGCAGACTGCAGCCGAGACGAATCGAATCAACAACTTAGTTGTGATTATTGTTTAACTTGCATAAAATATATCAATCAAAATCCTTCCATTTTCGTCTTAGCTTATGAAGTATTTAATCTTCATGATTCTGTAATAAATAATCATGGTAAACTAATACTTCGGTTTGTTAATGAAACTAACAAAGAATTACTTCATCAACGATTTTCGGAAAGACTGCAAGATATTGCAATATCGGACGATCACGAAAGGATTGCCATTGGAATGTCATCAGAGGGTCAGGATCCATCAACATTGGCAGGAAAAGTTGTGGTTGGTAGTAGTAGCTATAATATTAGCTATTTTCTTAAACTTAGACAATTTATTTCAATTTTAGATATATAAAGTTGATTCTAGAAGAATCGTACCTTATTTAATGGCCGAAACTGTAGAATATTTTATGGGTCTGGTGTTTACATCTCCAAGTCACTTATTATATTTTACCTCATCTGAATCGTATCGCCAAAGTGCAATTGGAATCGGTCTGAGTTAGTAGTCGTTAAATTTTTTATGCTGCGAGATATTAACTTTTGTGATGGTACCATTGATTTTATTTTGATTCTCTGGCGTGCTTGATATCTTAGGTAATGATATGCAGTGGCAGAATGTTACTAACGGACCGCAATCAGAAAGTTCGTATACAGAAGATAACCTTAAAGTTATTGATTGTAGTTGCACTTTCTGTTCTGAAAAACCAGTAGCATCACTATTCTTTCACAATGAAGAGAAATCCTACTTTTTATTAAAAGTGAGTTATGGTAAATTTAGTCGAACCTTGTGATGGACTAGATTTAAGAGACTCATTATTCATTACTGCACGCCAAAATTGTTATTGAAAGTAACGATATGTCATCCACCTTGTGGTTAGATTTGGGAAGGAATGAACCTTCAGCAGTCTTTGGAATATATGATGGATCAGAAAATTGCATCCCAGCTATGTTTTATTTTTGGTGAATATGAACAGACTATTCTAGTAGGATATTCGAGTAGAATCTTATTCTATGAACCGTTTGGCCGTCTATATTATATCGAAATCCAGGTATTTTCAATTTGGGTCTATTTGGATAAAGTTAGAAGCACTTGATTTTTACTTAGTCCGAAAAAATTGTTAGCATCTTGAGAAATCATGATCGGTTATAATTCCTATCTAATTATCCTGTTTATCATTAACAATCTTATTTGATCTACCTTCTCGCTTGGCTAATCATAAGTATTTGGATAGAGAATTCATTTACTTTAAGTCAACCAAGGTATACCTAAAATCTTTAAACTGTGATTTGGATAAAATTGAAGTCCTTTTTTCGAGATACCGAGAAGAGGAAAATACTGTAATCCTTGTTTTACGCGTTTTGGTAAGTTGCAATGTAGAAATATTAATCGAAAAGATATCTAGTGTTCTGTTCATTTAAAGTATTGAATTGAAGTTACACAGTTTTAGCAAACTGTAGGATAACGATACGCTAAATCTTTAGCCATTTTACAATGTAGGTTAAATGCTATATTAAAAATATACCTAGTTGTTCTATTTTGCTACTGTTATGTGTACGGTAACTGGTAGGAATCAAGCGACGTGTTATGTAGCCTGATCGTTCGATATAGAGCTTTCGATACATTTTTGTGTAGGAAATGAGTGCAAAGATGCCAATTTACTTCATGATAGTATATCTTTAAAAGTAGCTAAATGTAAAACAAATTTGATGGAATTCGATCAACGCTATTGAGTTATATCCTTTACCGATATTTTCAAGACAGTAATTAAATGAGGGAATTGCACTGATTCTTAATTAAATCAACAATAACTCATCAACTCTTGCAATTTTTCTCTGTGATAGTATAAAGTTGAACAGTTAATCATTATTCGAGTGGGCGATTTTGGAAATGAGCAAGAGATTTTCTATGGTGAAAATACATTAAGCGGCAAAATTGACATTATATACTGTGACGGGGATAATTTAATTACTAGACAATATATGGAGGAAGGTGTTAGACAATATAAAATTCAAGTGAGTTAATTAAACTAATATAAATTAAAAATCTCGATGAGATATCTGTTATTTGCTTTATCTGTATAGAATTTAAAGAATTTTTCGTGTATTCGATAATTAAAATGTTCAATATCGAAATCTTTCAAAGCGACCCTAGTCATAAAATATCTTTACACTTTACGTATTATTAGTGGTTTACATTGGGCCAAGACTGCACTTCGATCAAATCACCTTATAGCCATACCTTGGATAGTAGTATGGAAAGAATAGTTTGCAAAATGACAGTTCCCATTCATCCAAGCAGTGAATTAACGTTTATTGCAAAGTCATTGGATTGCAGTCGCTGGGATGATGCTATTGAAACTTGGGGTGAAGCAAATGCTCACATATTAGTAAGAATTACTACTTGATTCAAAGTAGTGGCTTAAGGAAGTTATAAGTTCAGCATAAAGTCAGAATATAACCATCACGTGATATTTTTATCTTAAGGCGATGTATGCTTCCATAGATGCCAAGGAATTATTTTTAATTGTGCGAGGAAAGCAAACTGTAGTAAGTGGCAAGGTTTCATACTAAGGATATAAGAGTAATAAGTTTGGTAAATACCCAATAAATTGTTCTAAAGTTGAATATTTATTGGTTATTAAATTTTCATAAATTCTAGTTACTTGATCATCGTCTAAGAGTTCTGATGAAAGGTTACGAGAAGAATATGCAAAGACTTCCTTTCAGGCCATATTTACAAGATATAGACAGTTTGTGGTCAAGTGATTATTTCATTGCATTAGATCGATGGAAAAGCATCATTTACTTCTACGATCGCTTTGCAATGAAATTATTAAATGTGATCCATATTCCGTACTATCAACCTTGGAAAGTCTGCTTCAATCCACAGCAGTGTCTATTAATTTGCTGCCAACAAAGTCAATATAACAATTGCCTTATTCAGTCAATTAACTTGATGGCAAGTAGCCAAGATGAGTATTATGGTTTGTGAGTTTGAATGAACAAAAATATTGACGGCTTTTATATAATATCCTTCAGTGCTTGCTTAATGAATTTTGTAGCGTTAGTGAAATTAATTAAGTTAAATAGCTATTGACGTTAATATAGGAAATCCTATATTGGTAGAGATGTCTTATCTATCTTGATGATTATGATAGTGTTATCGACTAAAAGTATATCTGAACAATGTAATCAGTTGTTAACTATGCTGCATTTGGAAAGACAGACGATAATGTAAGGCACTATAGTGTTAGTAGAAGCTCCTATTGTATTAATTAGGAAGCTACAAACTTGTAAGACGGCTGATGATTTTTGCCGTTTGTATATAAAGCGAAATCTTGCTGGTAATAGTTAGTTCTTATTCTCTGTTAGCATTAGACTCCCAATAAATTGTAATAAAAGCTGTTACTATCTAGTGACCTTTTCTTTCCATTTCAATTTTACTACCATATTTACTAGCTGGTTGCATCCATTTTAATTAATCAAATAATGCTATTGCTACTATAGTTCATCTTATCATTCCGAAGATTAGCACTCAGAATGTTTTGGTACCTTGCTAGGTGATATTATTACCTCAAAAAGTGCTTATTTTACCCTTGAAGTCAATTCTAATTCAGACCTTAAGATTCGTTTCATAAATTGTTTACGCCTGATGAGGATCGCTTAGCGCAATAGAAAGTTACAATCTATTACCTCTGTGAAATGGATAAGTCTTTATTTCGTTTGTGACACGTAAACTAAGCAGTTCATTGGATACAGTATAACCGTAACTTGAAGAATGTGTACCTAGCAAACTGAGTGCAGTAATTCACGTGTGTCCATACTGTGTTCTGATCCACAGTAAAACCGCTAAATTAATTATTACAGTATGAGCATGCAGTATTAGCAGTATTGAAAGAGTATTCAGCGTAGTAAAACGCCAAATGTGAGCATTCAAAACGAATTGCAAATCATAACCATGTAGTATTAAATATAAAAAGAGAGTGATACACTGTATTACGCCAAATATGACGGTGCGAATGTCAAAATGTTAATTAAAGGCGCACTATTATGTACTTTCTGTACCGTTAAGCCGCCAATTTATTATAATTATGCACGATTAACGGGATGAAAAAAAGTTGCATGCGGTAAAACGCCAAATGTATGCGTTAGAAACAGCGTATTAATTATATCCATACGGTATTAACAATAAAAAGAGATTGATATACCGTCAGCTAATTCGTGATATAAAACTATTCGATATTTTGAATGTTATTTCGTATAATGCAAACAGCATGACTTACTTTTCCACTTGTTATAATGTCGAGGAAGTCGATGTTATCATTGAAAATGACTTGACAGTCTATTAAAGTATTAAGCTAAATTGCCTCTTGCCGTACAGTATTTTATAAAATAAATGAAGTAAGCTTCTACCGTACAGTATACAGTATAGCTATTGCAATGTATTACAAATCACTCTTGGAGTATTCCGTTATATATTTCACCCGATGCTGTTTACTCATGTACATTGTACAGTATGCTATTGTGTCAGGTATATATTGCAGTTTACTCTTAACTATTTACTGTAAGGTTATTAATTTCTACTACACCAAATTACTTATTTAATACTATCTGGCTGCTGATTTCTACTACGCTCAAAAGCTAAATCCGCGCTGGATTAGTTGCAGCATTTTTCCAGATTTGAACATTTATCTACGCGAAAAACGATCAAGGTATCGTTCGCTACTGACTGTAAAGTAGATTAATTCGTGATTATGCTAACTAGATAACAATCCAAATGATAGCTAGATGATTTGCATGCTACTTCGATTTCTGTAAACAGAGGTTGATATTGATTAGGCATCCATAAGATTCATCGTCATCTATATTGTCTCAGTTAGATCGCAATTTCTAATAATATTCAATGTTATTTTGGATCATTACTTAGTCCTGAATAAAGAGTAACCCAGGACTACCGGATACTGGTCAGATATTGATTATTTGTGCAGAAGTAGTCCAATGAGTACATTAGTCGGACTACCTCCAGAATTTCCCGTATCCGCGGATGAATTCGTTCTCATACAATACGTCCAATATACTGTACGTTAACAGAGGCATTTTCTTTTGAGAATTTAAATCATTTTCGGAACTCTCGTAACTGTAAATATAAAAACAACCGACGTAGTTTTACAGATACGCCGTAAAATGAAATTTCTATATGTAGTATTTTCTGTAGCATAATCTATTAATTTAGCTTAATGTTGACTTTAAGGTATTAGTCAGTCAGACGATATTCAGACTTACGTAAGTTAAGAAGTCAATCTTATCATTACGTTGGTCTCAAACTACCAATGATAGAGGGTTAGATAAGTCAATAGAAATTAAGTCAGTTGCAATTTAAAGATAGATACTAGTATCTTATATAAAACTGAACATCTTGCCTACTGTACTATCCGTATAAGAATACAGTAGTTATTGCGAAGCAGCATGAAAGCATTGAGAAATAACGTGAAAAGTACAAATACTGCAAACATTGTTGCGAGCGAAATCAGAAGCAAAGCTTAGCAGCAGTTGTAGCTTTAGGAAAATAATGAAAGTACAGTAACTAGATGGAGCCTAAATTTGTACCGACTACCTGCTCATAGTTGAGAATAAGCTAACATCATAATACAATCTTAAGATTCTCGTAAAACGATCCTCTAGATTGCTTGAATAAAAATAGCCAAATCCGAGTGTTGTAGTTATATCTTATTTAAATCGATTAGTGCGAAGTATATACTCTCGCTTTCATCCAGTTCATACTTTATGCATCAACTATTGAAACTAAAGAAAGTACATAACAGTCTTATTACGATTGATTTTAGCGACGATAAACCAATTCTTAAGAAATGAAATCATGTCTACGGAACAAGATTTCAGGGAACAATTGATGACAGGTGATCCATTAATATATTATAGCAATAATGTCTTTGTACTACAGTTACGATCTAGAAAGCTAAAAAATTTTAAAGTTCTAGTTGCTACTGCATTCTATCAAGATATATAAGGTTCGCTTAATTGAATTACTGATAGTGGTAAAAATTTTTTCAAAATGTTGGTTGCGTTAATTATGTATGCGATTAATGCATCATTTGTTAACAGTAATAAATTTTTGAGTCTGAGGAAGAAAATAATTGAAGCGGTACTGTTAATTATCTAGTGGCTTTCTATCTAAATTATTAATGGTTATTGTAATGTTTTATCGTAAAGATCCAAAAAGTATATTCTATGTTATAGCAAATAATATAGACAAAGATTGGCCAAGATTAGCTGCAAATTGGATCCTCAAGTGGTAGCTAAAACCAAAAAGGGACAGTTCAGCAGTAAAACGATCAAAGATGATCTGATCATTCTGCATGAAAGTAATCAATCAGAATTTGACATGAATGAAACTATTAAAAGTCTTCGCATCATTAACCGACATGATATTCTGGATACCATGGGTAAAAATCTTACTAAATTTTCATCTTATAATATTTAAATTGCTGTCTATAACAAAGTTAAATGGAACAGTTACAACCAACAACTTCGCTAAATTTATCTTTTTATTTCTTCTTATTATTAATAACACGGAAGTAACATAAATTCAGATATTACTAGTGAGCTACTGCTCTATTCAAGTTTTCTCACTTTATGATGGTGTTTGACTAAAATATATTTACCCCTTAATATTAGATGGTTAAGTTGGGCTCTGACGATATCTTAAATAAACCAAAGTCAACCTTTGTTTACAACCGGGAAAGTGATTAAATATTTTGCTGTATCAAAATTCTAACTATTAAGGATGATAATTTAAAAAAGATGTGGTATCGAAAAAATGAAATAGTTTTGAAGCGATCGTAAATACTTGGAGAGAAGAATACGCTAACATAATCGTATGGAACACTAACTGATTTCAATTTGCGACTTTATAAGACTATATTTGCTGTCTAGAGATTTGTTGCAAATATTGAATGATTAACATTTCTTCAGGCTATGTATGCCCCAGAAGGGGTAAGGGATTATTTTTAATTGAAAAAAAAGAAAATTCTGGTAAAAGAATAAATTATTGAGCAAATAATTTCAGTTATAAATTACGGTAATTGTAGCTGAATATTGTGTTTTAATCATAGCTCTTAATTGTTAGTTGCTAAACAAAGACTTGCAACCCTAAATGAAAGGAAGCGATCTAAATTATCTAAGGCTTAGCACCAGATTAGGCTTATGGTATGCTCCTGATTTATGGCCAAATAAACATTTTATAGCACTTGATCTGTAACATTATGATCTTATATAGAAGATACTTAGTATAGTAATATCCTAATATACGAATACTTATCATATACCATTTAAGTACTGTATTGCATTACATTCATAATGTACGACATCATGACGACATATAGACGGCATGCTATACATATAATGACATTATCTCAATCTCATCTAAAACCTATAAATACCCTTGTAAGCTAACTCGTTAGTCAGTTCCTACGTTCCTGCTATCTCAAATACCTTATCTATAACAACCATATCATTGTTAGCCTATAACTTGTATCTCAATAAAATCTTTTATACCTTCTATCATCGTCTACCTTAAAATACTTTATGCTAGTTAAAGAGGATATTATTACAGATCGACAAAATGGCGTTACTTACGTTTACGACAATATCACCATGAAATTGCTACATGCAATTCAGATTCCTTGTCATGGGCGCATGCCAACTCTATTTTGATCAGAACAAATCACAATTTTTCCTTGTTCGGTAGATCATGATGATAATTATCTTATTAAAGCCATCTCTACTGAATAGCATCCGTCTCATTAAGATAATTGATGTTATGCACATATTAGTTAACCTATACCTGTTAATAATATTGGTACAGTACTTCTTGAATTTGTTATTGCTCTGCTGAAGTGTAGCGTCATTCTTCTTTCTAAAATCACGCTCCGACCCGTAATTAATACTGCAGTTATGCAAAAACTTCTCTATTGCTATGGAACATCAAGTAAATGAAATCTAGCGTACCTAATATACGTGATAGTTTCAAATAGCATTTGTTCTGAAAGCAGTATTTGTAGTATATGTTTCTAAATACGGTATAAAATATTCTTAGTAAGAATTTTTCTCTTCTTCACTATAGCTCAACCTCATAAATGTATAATCTATAATAATTAACAATTTACATTTTAATATCGTTGTATGTTCTTTTAAGATATCGTAGAATTGCCTTAACACAGAAGTAAAATGTTCTTATTAGCCATTCGTGTTTACAAGTACTGTCTTCCAGTTGTGCTTCTTACATAATAAAAGCATAAACTTGCATCATTGGTTGGTTTTGCTAGTTATGCGGCAAGATTGCTCGCTTTACTTACTTTACATAGTCACTACTATTTGATTAGTCACGTCGTTATGCACACCATCACCTAATATAGTTTTCTTCCCTTACTACTTGCAATAAAAACTACTATTTTAATAAAATAATTATCAAGAAGTTTCTGCAAATATGATAACACAAATCTTCCAAAACATCGCAATATGCGATAAGATAGTTGATGCCATCATATAAGAGGCCTCATGATATGAAAATATTTAGTTTTCTGTAAAAAATTTAAATTTTGTAATGAAGTTTCAATGGTCTTCACAACTCATAAAAAATTCAATAGGACTGTAGGATCATAAGATTATACCGTTATTCTAGTTTATATCTAAATATATTGTTACTCAGATATTAATTAAATTCTTTCGTAATTAAATCATAAATATTGATTTTGCTAACTGAAGCTAAAACAGTGTGGCAAGGTTGCAGAGTTACAATACCATTAGTATTTTAAAGTATAAATTTTATAATTTTGGACATTAAATTGTACTTTAGTAAAAATAGTTCTTAAAATAGGACATTTATGCTTTTAGGAGATTTTTATGCATTTGCTAATATACCGATACTTTATTGATAATAAATTTAATAAAACTAGTATTAGAGTATTTCGATAATGTAATCATGATTACATGTTTGATGTTATAGTCAGCGACGGTTGTCTTAGACAAGAATCTTAGAAAAAGTGGTATACAGGAAGAAAATCTGTTTACATATTTACAAGAGTGATAAACTCTAAATTAGGAGATAAAGATAGCAATAATAACTTCTTAATACATAGAAGTTTTCTATATAGTCAGAGTTTCTCTTAAATAAAGATAATTGTTGTTAACGACTTTAGTTCAAAACTTGACTTTGTGTTTTTCTTGTTCCAAATACTGAGTTGTGACATGCAACAGTTGCAAGTTTGAGCAGTAGTTTATCAGTAATGTAGCATAACGTGTAATTGAACTCTTAAACTTATCTAAATCAAGCCAAAGGTATAAAACCATAAGTTTGTATAAAGAGAAAAGAACGAATTTAATTTATTGATTACAGTTTTTAATATCCTTTATTAAAAATATCAATTTCGAATAGAACTAGCTACAGGTATTTAGAGCTGCAACAACAGCTTCTGAATAAGTAGATAACTATTTTTGCATTCATTAATCGAAAATGTGTATTATACTAATAGAAAAGATAGTGTACTTCTATTTGCACGATATAGTGTCAATGTTATTTTAATTATTATAATTTTACCAAAGTCTTTATTTAATATAGGACTAAAACTGTGCTTAATAATATTGAGCAAAATTTTAAAACTACTTGATTGCCATAAAATTGTTTGAATCAACTTTCTGTAGTTTGTAATTATTGATTTATTTGGCGATATGACTTTATCCATTATAATGAATTCTTATTATAATTGAACACTTCTATGACTATACCTACTACAAGCAATCTAGGTAATTGCCGACCAACAATTTTCTATAATTGTGTGTAATTAAAAATCGAGTAATATTAAAGCAATATTTAGAGTTTATTTAAAATTTTAAATAATTTGTAACGTTGAGCTGCAAACATATAATAGCTTGATAAAAGCATAATGCTTATTATCGTTACCCATGATGTTCCTTTGAGCGATTTTAGTACTAATAAAAATTTGTATGATATTAAATTAAATTAACATCAACGTGTAGTACGGACTTCTGTTGATGATGTAAACATAAAGTGAATAACTATCAAGAAATTTACAGAGAACCAGATATAGCTAAGCAACTAGGCAATTGAGCTACTTTAACCTAAATTGGATGTATACGTCGCTATTTTAGCTATGCTTACTTTCCAACTAACATGTATTACTGTGACGAATCTTACCTAATTATCTCTTAAAGCATGCGCAGTCTAACAAGCCATCATTTTGCCTACAGTATGCTATCGAAAGAAAACTTATGATGGCGGTAACCATGGTAACATAAGCAAAAATATGAAGATAGGCCTCGTTACTCTATGTCTTTAGCAGCTCGATCTCCAACAAACATACAGCTAAATCTGCTGTTCTTAATGATATTGAATCCACTTGATTTATCCAAAGGCTTATCAATTATTTGGCAGGCGCAGGCTCAACTCTACTGGTTGCCTGTTTGGAAGAAATAAGTGTTATTATCAATTTCTTACATCGAAAGTCATCAATTTCAACATTTCTTTTCGATTGGAAATAAACAACATTAGCATTTGCTTACTACGTATGTTACATGAAATCGAGAATCTTTACTGTTGGCTTATTTAGATTGTTTTACACTGATTATTACATCGCAGAATCTGGTGTATAGCACAATTAAAACTTTAATTTCATAATTTCACTTCGGTCTTAACATAATAGATTTCGCTGCTATCAACAAAGATTACAAAACTGTTTGATATACAAAAGGCAATTGAGGCCTTAACTCGAAATTTTATTTCGTTATGCTATTTTTCGTAATTTATTATGAGCTTTGACCATTTACGGTAAAAGTATAAATTATTTGGCGATATGAAATACTTGAGAAATACTAAGAGTTTCATTTAAGACAATGATATTATGATGTTGAGAGTCTAAGTTTAGTTAGTTATGGCTAAAAGTAAACTACTGCGTCGTCCTTTAGCACCTGCTAAAAGTTTACCGCCTACGTTAGGTGCTACAAAAGAAATAACATCAACTGAATCTCAGGTAAAATCACCCAATATAACAACTATATCGAGCGATTCTTTATCAATTGCGGATAGTAAGTTAAGCGACAAACAGCATCAAGTACATGTTCTAGCAGAAGATAAAGCAGAAGATCAAGCAGCTTATCTAGATGAAAACCAAGCAGATATTGGAGCTCCTACGCCACATACTTCCTTCGTTGAAGAAACTAGCATAGTTGGAAATAAGCTTCTTCAAAGTTTAACATTAGAGGATATCGAATTTGTGAAAGAAGCTGGTCCCGATCCTTTACCAAGACGTCGTTATACAAAACCAACAAAACCTACTGCGAAATTTAACTATCAAGACCAATATGGCGTATTTATTAAATCCAACCCAATATTCACTCTTGATGATTTCAAACTTAATCCCAAACAGGTGGAGGGTAACGATTTAACGATTGTTGCTCGTAGCTTAATGTTATCAAAAAAGAATTATGATGAAATGGTAGCCATTTTTGCCCGAAATTCAAATAAAACTCTGAAGCCTGCTCAAGTTTCCGTTGATGACAGTAAGCTTCAGAAGGTTTTGTTGACAGTTTGTCACATTAGTCTGCAGTTGTCAATAATTTTACGCATGTCTACCATTACATTGATTTACCAGCATAGATTATGTCGAAGCTTATAAAGTACGTATGCTCCGCTAAAGTTTATTTCATAGAGGCTTTTTGAGACTGATAGGATTACAATTATTTTTGTGGCAATTCTTATCGACATTAAAAAAAAATTTCTTTGGACTTTGTAGTTCCTTTGATTATCATACAATTAATAAATATGGCCGCAGTCATTGTAGGGTATTTATTGTCAATTTCTCAGCCACTTTGTTATTTTCATTAGTCGACTTACCAGCTGTTAAGCTTCCACGTCGGCCATATAAGCAATTGCTAATAGGTTGGTAATAAGCATAAAGCTATAATAAATAGCGTAAAGAAATTTAGCTAATTCAAGTTTACAAATAATATTAAATTTTTAATGTAGAATCTAAGAAAGAACAGTTAGATGAATATGTTAGAGGGCATGCTGCCACACCTGGAGCAAGTAGCATAAGTTATACAAGAAGTTCATCATCTTGGTTTGTTAATAGTTTTTATTCAAAAAAAATTATTTACAAATGGTCAACTTAGACCTGTACATTCGATATACTGACGCTTAAAAAATTAATCAGGAAAGTGGACGCTCATACTGAATCAGAATACATGTCCAAACTAAATGAATCCAAAAACGAGCAAAGCCAAGATCTAGACGCGAATTTTCCTCTCTTAGGTTCAATCTAATTAATTAATTGAATAGTAATAATAATACCATCAGTTATACTACGCTACCTTTTTAATAATATTTATTCTAAAATTCTTGTAATAGCGATGGAAGGTAATTTAGATGTCAATCCATCAGAAGCTGCGGTATTTAATTGCATGATCCAAGCAAAAGGATTCTCTCTAAGTTTAAAGGTAAATGCTTGTGTAAACATATCTTTTCATAATTTATGAACCATTCAAATCTTAAATGAACTTAACATCTGTACAGGCCTATTTTATAAGCTCCTTACCTAATTTATCACCTGTTTTCCAAACATTACGTTGGTTAAATTTGTCATTTAATAATTTTACGGTAAGAATATGTTTTGAAGATGATTACTTTTAAGCTTGAGCCATATCTTCTTAGATTATCATATTAATGATCAAATTCCAGGAATTTCCTTCGGAGTTATACGAATTAAAATATCTTGAAGTACTTTATTTAAGAAATAACCCAATTCCGGAAATTCCTACAGGTAAAGGTTATTGCAAACAATATAGATTGCTTTCTTCTACCCGATAAAATTTGTTGATATGATCTTAACAATGATGTGATTGAAATAGTATAAAACTAATTATTAATCGTAACTACAGACATTGACAGGCTATCCAACCTTAAAACGTTAGGCGCATCTCACTGCTTATTGAATAGTTTACCGGAAAGGTAAAGACCGTCATGTTTTCGTTTTGAGATTATAGATTCTTCCTACATTAAGATTGAATTTTGTAGCGGTAATTGCTGCCTTTTTATCAAAAAATTTAACCCTTTCTCATAAGCATGACAACGAATTGTTTAGCATTTACAATATTAAGGAACTTGATCATTTGGATTTTTCATACAATCGAATATCTGAAATTCACCCAAACATTGGAAAGCTCCAGTAATTAAATTTTGCGATATTTTATAATTAATATTAGTCTATATCAAAAATTTATTCAAGTCATTTATTATGGATTTCTAGTCATAAAATTTGGATAATACTATCATATTCTCACAATAAATAGAAATCTTCGGATTTTAAACTTGGAAGGAAATGAAATTGTTGCTTTACCATGCGATGTCATGAATTTAGATCTCAAACATTTGTATATTGCCAATAACTACATCCATCCACTATTCTGGGCTAATTATACTAAAAATGATCCGCAGGTATCTGTATTTTGTAAAAAAATTTAACAAAATATTCAAATACTATTTTAATCAGGTTTTGACTGAAATTAATACTGTAAATTCATTTTGATATCTTACTAGCCTAGAGTCTACATACAATGAGCAAAAATTAATTTACTATGTATGATCTAATCTCGCAATTAAATAATGAATTTGGACTTTGCAGCCTTTAAAGGATATAACAGCAATCGTCTTTCGCCAAAGTGGACTCCATCTAAGATACCAATCTCTGCCAGAAAATATTGAAGAAATACTAAGCAAGTATGTCTATTTTAATTAGTATTGTAACACTAATTCTCCGATAAAATCTAATATGACAGCTTTAATTTAGGGATGTTACCCTGGTAATCTAGCTACAATTTTCCTGTAAACAGATGACATATAGTTGTATATAATTTAATTTTCATTCTGTGGTACACATTATTCCAAGTTGTCATTTTCTAGTATTTAAAAATCAATGCGCATACTTAAACAGACATTAGTAAACAACATCATTAATGAAATATATTTATTCCCTCTTTGAATTTATCTAGTTAGACATCATGTATTAAAATATAATAATTTTATGATTTTCTCACGTTATTTAGGGAACGTCAGTGCCTTTGCTGTGGAGGACCAATTTATGGCGAGGGGTTAAAAGTTATTCGCCCTGCAGGACGAATGTTTGGTGTGCATACCTTACCTTTAATATTTCGATCTTGCTCACCATATTGTCGTATCTATTATAATCAAGTAGCAGAATCACTTATATATAAAGCGATGGAAGAATCTTAATTTCGACACCAAATAAATTGAATAGTTTTTAAGATATTTTATATTTTTCACTTTGAATTATATATACCTTCAACTGAAAAATTTCCTTTTTTACGATCGAATTGATCTATTAGCTAGTTACCGAACACAAGTTTCGAATAAAATATTTTCACAAAAGCATAATACGGCTTCAGTGTATCTGTTGCTTAACAATGAATATTCTTTCCAATAAGCATTTTCGTATTTTTGCATTTTGATACGATATTTAATTATCTATTCAATTCTAACCCTAACTTGTAATATTTGGTCAGATACTTAGGGATTAGCAATTTATGATATCCAGAAATTGAAAGGTAAAATTTAAGTAGCGCTTTAAATTGATTCTTGATAGCTATTATATCATTAAACTTTGTTTCTGTAGTATAAGTATCAATTATTAGCAAATAAACTGATCCGTGAACAATAATTCGAAAGAAAAAAACAGAAACTGCAAAGCTAGACATTCTTTAATAGTTTGTGGTAATTGGAAAAAATACTTGATGCTTAACGAATTCGTAGAAATTAATCCTAGCGTGTCAGTAAAATTCAAGCTAGGACAGAACACTTTTTTTGCAAATTTGACGATATGAATAGTAGATACTCTCACTGTTATTTTTAACATTTCTGTAGCCTTAGTATGCTGAGAATGTCCTGCTAGATCATATCGATTTCGATATTTCTGAGAATGCTAAAGCGCACTTGTGCTGTAACGTTGCTCTAGCACCTTATCATTTTATTCTATCAAGCATATCAACATTAATTTTCTGAGAACATATTATTAGTCTACATTTATGCATACATTTCAAAAATAGAAGACTCAACCGTTACGAAAAGATTACATTTCATTTAATGCTCAAAAATCGCATTCTGGTTCACCCACTAAATATCAACAGAATTTCCTTTCGCTATCAACAAAGAACGAGCATATCCGACTACGAGTATACCGTTAAAACATTTTAGAGTCGCTAAAGATACTTTTATTTTTATATTGAATCGATGTTGCAAGATTAGAACAAGCCTCAATTGGCAAACATTAGCATCATTTGCTATATCAGAAGTTTATGCATTGATGAGATAAAGCGAAATTATATTTTAGCTGTATTATATTTTAACATTTATAACTCAAATAAAGTCGTCAGTCGAAGGTAATTTATTTAATTTCATTCAACAATAATAAATTAAGAGATTGTTATAAGAATCGAAACCTCTCAAGTTATCAGTTGCATAAACGTACGCCCTATGTAACGATTTCTTGATCATAAATTGGATCAATCTTTTCCTATCATGACGTAGAAACTGCTACAACTAAAATTTGAAATCGATAGCACACGATATTTAACAATAATAAGATCACTACAAGTTGTCTACGATTAATTCTAGCAACTATCGAAAATGGTAACTCTTAATACAGATTAAAATCTAATAGTTGATTTTATCTTTAACTCGAAGTCTACTTGATTAGCACAACTTTTTAAAGCAGTTAAAGAAAATTTATGGATAGGATGATAATTGACTTTGAAATATTAATTAATTATTGCGAAGACAAATAAAGCGAAAAGACGCGAAAGCGTTTAACGAAATATTTAACCGTGCAAAATCATGGTTGATATTTCTTGTATTATTCCAATAAGTTTGACTTATACACTCACATTAAGTTAGCACTCATAAGGATATTTCAATGATCAAATTATTGATAGCTAAATACAGGATAATTGTCGGTAGAGCTCTTTGACACCTATAGTAGTTCAAGCTCTAACCTGATAGGCAATTCCATTCGAATATTTTTAAGGAAAATTACGATCAAATTAGCCCATAAACCATAGCGAATGCAAAGAATCTTTTTTTTCAAATTTCCAAGACAATTGGATTACTAGTACATCACATTTTATACGAGTTTTAATTAAAATTTCTAAATTTAATAAAGCATGAGAGACGATCACAATCAAAAGAGTCCAAAACAATATTATTCGCAGTCAATTGTTTCGATGTGGAATGAAAAGACTCGATTAAATTTCAGACAGTTAACCCTTGTCAACGGTAATCATGCATGGAAGTTAACAAGAAGAAAAGAAAGCATAGAGAAAATTACCATTTCCGCCTTTACTAGTAACCTGAGCTAATTAATACCGCTTAGAGGACTTAAAAGCGAATTGAGTCAGATTTTCCTTAAAGGAAGGTGCTTGCCACTTTTTTGTTTTGACCAATCCGGATAAAATACCCTAAGGCACCAATTGCAATTATTAAAATGGCGATTGGAATGGTTACGGCTATGACAGCAGTCAAGGAAAACTTTGAAATTGCTGATTGATGTCCACCTTTAATATTAATTCAGAATATTTAGTTATTGATAATAGAAATAAAATGAGACTGACTATACATTTAAAGAATTTAATTTTAAGTTCAAATTGAATGATTATATTTTGCTGATAATTTTTTTAGTCTAACAGAGAAGAAAAATTATAGCAACAATACGTTTAGATCCAGCATAGTTCTGGATTTATCTTGATAAATATAATATTTACTTTCTAGATGACAAAAAAGAATCAAATAATACGGAATCAAGAACGAAGCATTATTTCAATTTTCTGATCATTTAACGATTTCATATAGTGATAAAGATTGCGACCGAAAAATTAATAAGACAGGATTTATGGACTTACCCGCTTACAATTTATGAATTACAATAGCTGATAACTCTTTAATTTAAATAATATTAGGCCATAGTAAATAATTTTATAACAGTTACTGATTATTGAAAGGGGAATAATTAGTACTAATGGGTTAAAGCAATTTACAGATTATGAAGCCTTAAAATCTGGTAATAAATTATAAATCATATTTGGTCGATGTAGTTCATCGAGGACAGTTTTAAATATCGGTGCTTCTTACGAAAAAGTTACTAAGTAAGAAGTTCTAATTTTTGTTTAAATCAATTTAATTGAGATCAAAAGTCGACTTTTATAATATACTTATCAATGTAATTCTTCCTACCGAACTTTACAGAAGTTAAATAACAAAGCTGATAATTAATAGTAAATAATTTATGGTTGCTCTAATGCAAGAATTTTTAGGCAAATCTTTAAAAACCTAATTAATTTTAAGCATTAAAAGTCATTGAAATCTAATTAATGAAGTATATCATGAAAGGGATATTGAAAAAGAGCCCAAATTTATGACTTGCAAATCCATTTTTACAAATTTAGATAAGGGCGATATTACAGAATTGGCGATAGTAATTTAAGATTAAAATGATGGCAGCTATATAAATCAAATTTAAATATGACTTCGTCATTTTAATTAATGTCATGAAATAGGGAGGAAATGATAGACTAAATATTAATTTCTACTTAGAAACCATTTAATAGCGGAAGCAAAATAGAACGTAGCATGATTAAAATTTCTGTCAAATGTGGAGAAATGATCAAAAAGAGCTGACATTAAAAAGTTGGTTAGTTATGTCAAATAGCCTTGAAAGAATATAAATAATGATAATGATAAAATTAGATAGAAGCAGTTTTGTCCAGAGGGATCCCAGTAATAGCTGAAATTAACTTGAATTAGTAGACTACTGTATAGTTAAAAGCGTTGATAGATTTTTTTCATACTAATTAAGGCTGCTGATGAAGGAAATACTTGAAATACTAGCAACTGATTTTCTAGAATAAATTTATTATTACGGAGATATTGAAATTTTTTTTGTACGTAGCAATTTATTATTAAAAATGGACAAAATAAAATTATTACGGAAATTATTATTTTCATGAATGTGACGATGGCTTCATTATTATTTGAGTCTATTACATTTTGATAGATTGTTCGCTATTTCAATTATCAAATAGTAGAGAAAATAATAAAATAAGTTTAGTTTTCATACCAGGATTCGCTGTAGCTGAAGCAGTAGTATTCAATTGGAGCCATATATCATTCACAAGCGTTAACTTGTCAAGATTCGTAAATTGTTTAGCTATTCTGGAGAATATTTGAAATTGCTTAGTGGGACAATAATCGCTAAATCTATCTTGATAGTTTTTAATTTTAGCCTTCCAGAGATGATCCGAATCAAATTTGAACAAATTAAATCCTGCAAGATCGAATTGTTTGCGTTCATAATCCTTACTAATCTACATAGAAGAAAAAACAGGATGCAAAAAATCAATCATGTCGAACAAAATGCCAAATTAAACTAGCATTAGCTTTCTGGCACCTATAGATATAAAAATTAGCATTTAAACAGGATAATAAGACTATTAAGAGAATAATATCGAAAAGCGAAAAAACAGATAAAAATCAGAATGTTGTTACTTTACAACTGCCTTTTATTATCGATAATAGATTAGCTAATTACTTGTGTTTCCAACCGTTCTGCAAGACAGATTATTAGAATTATTTCTTTCCAGTGATCTTCTTGATCAATTAATGGATCACAGAATAATTTAATTTTTCTGCTTGAGTAATTCGGATAAATTAAACATATAGTGGGTGGGTTGGGGCGGCGTTCTGAAAGAAATCAATAGATCAGCATTTTTTTAATTTAATTTTTAGCTGAACAAGTCAAATTTTTACGTAGCTACTACAATATATTCTTTAATTAATATACAAATAGTTCATAAAGCATACTCTTTTCTAATTTCTGTTAATTTGAGGATGAAAACGAAATAAAACTAGTTAGCTTAATAGCCAAACTAAACTTACATTATCATATATTATTGCATTAAATGCCGATTATTAAAAACATTTCACGTATTGCCTCTTCTATTTAATGCTTATCCCAATTTTTCCTATGGCAATAATTTTTTGCGTCTAATTATTCATGCAATCGTGAAATATTCCATACTAGCAGTGCATATTGATGCTGCTACTATTGATAATTAAGACTATGCAACTACGCACATTTAACGTATTACTATTATTATATTAGCATATTATTTGGATATATTTTATGTTGTAACTATTTACATAGACATTAGTTTACATTCTATAAAATACCAACCTAGATTGTTGATTTCACTAGTGTTGCTATAATTAATAATTAAGGATGTTGGCTTAGAAGAATTTGTCTTTCCGGAGTGTTTCATGAGCTGAGATACTTTCAGTGATTTTTTGAACGATTGAGGCACATGTTGTGATAATATTTCAAAATTTGATGGAGTACTGTTCGGACTAGTTTTCCCATTAAATCTTTCTGCGTTGGCAAACCAATAATAGGCAGTATCTAGATCCAACAGGTCAAAGCTGACAACTCTGCTTCTTGTATAGCCTACCTGAAACTATTAAGAAAGAGTTGGAATAGATAAAATTTTCATGAATCTCTACTAAATTGCGCAACTTAAGCTTAACAAAAAGTAGGCTAGTCAATTGGTTAATATGGAAAATTATAAATTAAAGCCGAAAATTATTTTACTTCTGGCTTTATTAATTACCTACCTGGTGAATCAATTTCGATGAGTTTTTCATATAGATATAAAAATTATAAGAGTACATTGAACCATAGAAACAACGATCATGCTGTTTACAAGTTAGTATAATAGCTCGCTTTTTGTAATCAACCGAAGCTAAACATTCTTTCGGAGGCACAGGTTTGACTGAAACAAAATTTGATATTTTTATTTTATTATCCACCATCATTAGATCTATTTATTGCGAAATACCAAAACCCTAGTATTAGCTTACATGTTAAAGCTGGCCAACTACGGTAATAGTCACTGGATGTTGTTAATTTGTTGTCACTGGTAGCGGCTAAAATTTTAAAGACGACGGTAGCACCTATCAGTCTCCCATTAATTTCAATTTGACAACTTGTCCCCCTCGTTTGGTTACAAGAATATTGCCAATCAACATTATTGCTAGGCGAATAAATTTTATAACGAACGCCATATCGAATTAATGGTAAGCAGTTAGCATTAACATCTATAGGAGACCAATTAACAATGAAATGAGTACATATTGTGTCTACTTTGATGTTCTGGATAGAGGGCAATTTGTCTGAAAAAAATGGACATTTTTTTTACATCCTCCATCTGATTTATACAAAAAAGAATTATTTACAGTTTTAGTAACTTGATAGCATGAAGTTTCAAGTAAAAAAATGAGGATTTACTATAACTACAGTCTTAATAGCTCAGTTCGAAATTTATAAGCACATTGCTATTCTTAAAATCTTAAGCTAAGACTAATTAAATATCTTAATAAGAATTGCTTCCTCTTTGTTTACTATCGAATAATGATTTTTAGCAGCTTCTTTCATCCTTAATACTGTAATTGATATTATTTAATAATCACCCGCCATCAATCAGTCTACAGTATCAGTGGCTCCAATTGCCAATTATACGTAGTAATGATAATTCAATTTCCATCAAACCAAATATTTAAGTTAAGTATGACGACTATCCCTTAATTTTTACGTATTTTTATGATTTACAAAGAATCGAAAGTAAACTCATCGACAGAAACCAAGACTTTGTATTAGTGTAATATTTATAAAAGTGCAACAAGCAATCTTAGATTAATTACAACTAAATTATTATGAAAGCGAGTTTAAGAGTAGATTTTGCATGCGGAGTCAGTCAAATCGGTAAGATTAAAGGATGTTGCTATTTAAGTGCCAATTACGTAATAGTAGCGGCAATTAAGAAGATTAAAGACGCGAAATTCTATTAATTTTCTGTTTAAATGCATGATTAAAGAATGTAGAAAATTTTACTTACGGTTTATATTGCAATAGTTGATTGGCTCGGTCGTAGTTGGCTTCGAAGTAAAATGCGTTAGAATGTCAGCTTGAACAGTGCTTTGACTAACATTCAATTTTGGTTCAGCATCGGTAATCTTTATTTGAAAAGGATAATGTGCCGTAAATTTGCTTTCTTTATTACTGTAAGTTGTAGAGCTGGCGTACCAGTAATAAGAAATTGTTTTATTTAGTTGCGAGAAAGGCAGGATTTTAATTCTTGAGCCATCCTGTGTATACTAAAAATCATATTCAAATATCGGCAATCAACTTTTTAATAACTAATTATAAATATAAAATCATTAAATTAATCAACAAAACCATGGCTAGTAAAATTGGTTTTAATTTGAATTATAGGGTATATTTAGTATATATAGACTTAACAAAAATAAAATATGACTCGAAATGTAATGAAGTACTATCAACATTCCTTACTTTCTCCACAACTCCAGTTTGATTTTGAATTGCCAAGTAGAAATTATATGCATATGCTGACCCATAGAAACATCGGTTATGGCGATTGCATGTTAAACGAACAGTCTCTTTTTCATAATTGATTACAGTTTTGCAATCTTCTGGGGGTACCGGTTTAACTATAATGCGACATGATAACAATTTAAAATCAGGAACACGTACATTGCAATGCAAATGCCATTTTAGAATAACTTAGTTGTACCGTTTAATAAGTTAGCATGAATCGCTGTACTTGCATATCGTAGAAAACTGACACAATTGTTGTTGCCATCGGTATGGATAGATATTGATATCAAAGATTAATACTATAAGTTCTATTTGTATATATTTAATGTTCTACTGCAGTTCTTGAAAATCATTTCAGTGGCTGTGTACTTGTATGTAAGAGCTAGTATTTAAATGTAACTTATGGATGGCAACTAATCGAGAAACTTGAACGCAAGCTAGGTAGATAGATCTAAATTGGTGTATCTCAAGTCAATAAAAAGAACGTAACTAAATAACTACAAGTAGAAATTTACTTTTTCATGCATGGAATAAAAAACTCTCTAATAAAGGTGCAATAACATGGTCTATGTCTTTCAAAATTTGAGCCAATCAAAATTTTTATCATTGCCTGTGTTAACTGTACAGAAAAGCAACCAATTTACTCAAATGATAACTAGCAAAGTGAAGTAGATTTACTATAGATATTTCCTTAAGGCAAAGGCAGTCCTTAATCGTTGTAAAATATTATTTCTCTTCTCCGAACCAAGGCTAAATTTTATGAAAGAAGTCTTGCTTGCTGATTCCAATTTAAATAAGTTTTAAAATACATTCGCAAGTTCATGTTAACAGAGGATAGCCTTATCAATATCTAAAAGTAGCAACTTACAGTTTAAGTTTGGCCAATTCCTGTAATAGTAAGTGGATGAAGTGATGGCAATATTTTGAATCAAAAAGGCTTCAACTTTATAAACTATTGTTGTGCCTATCAAGCGGCCGCTGATTAAAATGTCACAGTTAGCTATTGAAGTATTATTGCATGCAATTTTCCAATCCAAAATTCTATTACTAGAATAAATTTTATAGTGAACCCGATAGCGAAGTTCGGGAATACAGTGGGATTGAACTGCAGGTGGACTCCATGTTAATTTAAATTGTGTACATTCGGTAACGGAAAACACTTTTCTGATGGGAGGTAAATCCGCTACGTACAGTATCAATAAACACCAGGAATAAAAGTTGCATTTAATAATAAGCTTATAATAATCGTTTATATAATTGTAAAATAGCGATTAGAATTAATTACAGCTAGTTCAACGTATTGTACAGTATGTTTGTACAAAAAATTAAGAAAATAGCCGACGCTACTTTGATTAAGAAAAAAGAAAATTGCTACTGATTCTATTCTATTATTAAGGGAAGAATATAGTATCCACTTACCTAAGTGATTACAAACCATCCCAGAATCTTCCTGGCTGCGACCAAAGCATACTATAATTAAGGTAGAAATAGAGAACAAAACTTCTTTCTATAATGTTTTAAATAAATTTGTTAAATATAAAGAATGCTAGTAATTATAATTTTCATATGGAGTTAAGTATAATTCTACATTTACTCATACAAAGAAATAAGTTCAGAAATTGCTCTCATCAACGTTTAACTCAAGTTATTATTACTTCTTCCTAACGATTTATATGAACTAATACATAATGTATTGTATCGCTACAGTCTGCTTAATTACAGTATTGACTAAGTAATATTGTTAGTGTTAATACCACACTATAAAACTAACTTTGGATTAGTATTCCACATGTAAAACTGAGTAATATCCATGTAACATTGAAGATAGCCATCCTGATTTATCCATATAGTGAAAAGAAGAAGCACCTGCAATAGATGTTATCTACCTTGTGGTAAATTTCAGAAAATGCGATGAATTCTATTCATATTCTATTTATATGCTATTACAATATTTGACAGTTATTTACTATTAGAATGCCAAGAATAGAATTCTATAAATCACATATTTGCAATAATTGCATATCCGCTAAGCGGGTATTTTCTATTAAAAAATATCAATAAGGAAGTGAAAGTATACCTATAGCAGTAATTTTATCATTTGCTGCGATAAGATCCGAACACAAAAATTTAAAATTTTTAGAAAATTAGAAATTTAATAGATCTAATGGAAAGATTAGCTACACACAACACTACTCTTGCTTAATAGAACCACTGAAAGACTTCTAAAAAGAACAATCATATAATCTAAAGTGTCTTTTGTTTATATACTTTCCCTTAGCCTTCGTAGCTACAATTAGCACAGCAACATTTACCTCATTTACACATAATTAAGTTGTTACTAGTAACACCATTTATAGCTGGAAATCATTAATCCAATATGGAAGCGATTAAAGTATTTGCGAGAAAGTATTCCTACTACTCGAAGTACGATGAATTAAACGTATCCTAACATATTATTCATCGGTATATTTTTCACCTTTAACCTTATTAGTAGCTCAACATTTTTTTGTATGTAATCATCTGTATACTAGCAAATAATCACCGTTACAGTCTATAATTACGATACTAAGTTACTTCACATCAGCATAATGTCAGTACAGCCAAGATGAATTGATTTTATGCAGTTGGAGGCTATTTCGTAAAGATCTTATTAGTTCAACCAAAGCTGCTAGTGGCCGGTCGAGATTGCAAAGCTAGTCTGAAGTAAGATTTAGTAGGAAGAATATTATGCTGTTTTAGCTATAACATCTCAGAACAAGATTAATATTTTTAGAGGGCTGGTAATGTTGATGTTTGACAAGAGCTATCACAACTGAATACAGCATGAAAAATATGCTGAATAAAATTTGCAAGTAAGTCTATAACTACTAATAATTTAAGAAACAATAATTATAATTATTTAATAAGACAAGATTGATGGACACCATGCCGTAGCTATGTATCTTAAGTCAATAACTGTTCTTGAACAGAATTTAAAAATGTACTAATTTATTCAGATTCAATGATTTGACAATAAATCTGTAAATACTAATAAAAAACTTGTATGATTTGCAATCAAACATCACGCTACTATCTCTACTTATTTTTGTGCAAGAATAAATTTTATAACTTTAGTAGACTATTTCGCATAATAGAAAATTATTTTCGAATTTCTAGTTATTACTAGAAGATTATCATCTTCACCTAAGTGATTGCAATTTGATTCAGAATCTTTCTAACACCGCATTGGGTAAGCTATAACAAAGTAAAATAGAGAATAAAAATGTCATTTTTAATATTAAAAATCAACTTGATATACATAGAAGAATAAAGATGTTCACAATTTGTTAACACAATCAACTATAAATCTATTTTTTCTTATAACAAGACTAGAAGCTGTTCCTGTTTACGCTGAAATTAAATTACAATAATTTTCTGGCCCATTAATATTCGAACTAATTTATAAGACATTCTATGAGTATTTCCATTTTCTGCTCAATTACGGTATTAATGTAATATGCATTTCGGTAATTAATCATTAATAATTAGTATTAAGAAAAATTCTGTGACAAAAACAAATTAAGTTTGGATTAGCGTTTTATACGTCAATAGCAACGCAACATAGAACTTGAGTATCGTAGTTTATCGTTGAAGTAAGGAAAATTACTAATAAAAGTCAACTTGCTTCTAATGTATTCTAGATGCTGTGTTAGATTGATTCTACCTGTTCTTAAAAGCTATATGATACAAAAATTTTAATTCTTCTTTCTATATTAATTAAAAGACGCTATTAATAATCCTGTTTTCTTTTCCTGACCAATATATTTTATGACGTATGAGAATTATAGCACAAGATATCTAGAGAAATTGAAATTCTTTAGTTCTAACATGTGTACGTAATAGTATTATCAATAGAATATACTGCATTTAGAAGTGTGCTAAAGAAATTGATATATTAAGGTAAACAAATTATGTTGATATAAAGAAAAATTTGACAGAACTGAAACAGAATTGGTTTTTAGTCTTTTATCTCAATAATTATAAATCGTGCTTTGCTGGAAGCTATAGTAAATGCCTTTTGAAGTGTCACAAACTGATATAGAATGTTCATTCTTGCTTTAATAGAAGTTGCTATTTATTGTAAGACTGAGTTAGAAATTAGTATTTCTGCCACAACATTGATAAACTACCCTACTGGAAAGCTCAAAATTTGATCATTAAACTCATTACTTACTATTCTACAGAAAATTTTATTAAATTAATCGATATAATTGTAAACAAATAGTTTTTTTGGTCTAAACATCGGATTAACCAGTTCTTTTAAAAAATTTTATCAACACTATAAATCATTCATAACCTGATAAATAATAGAAGTAAACTTAAATTGAAAAGATTTCAATTTCAAAAATTTTATCATAAATTAATGGCTAGTAGTAATTCATACAATAAATAAACTTCTTAAGTTTTGTTTTGCACATAGAACGTGAATTCATTCAAGTTACCTTAGCGTATTAATTTACATACCAAGAAGTATGATGCCTTATATATTATGGAGTACTGGATTCATCACTATTAAGTAGTATATTACCATTAATCATGTTTTGAGAAGGTTTGAAATTTCACTCTTATAGTCCACTTACAAGCTGTAGCAAGAAAATTTAGATTATTTGACCTAGCTCAGTAAATACAATACATGTTTCAAATTAATTAAAAAAAGAAAGAAGGCAATTTGGCTTCCGAATAACAAGTAATGATATTAATAAATAGAAGCCCATTAGTTGGTAATTATACTAGTTATACTACAGTGTACGATCTAGATCACAATACTTATAAGCTGCGACTATATTTTGTTAGATATACTAACCCTAGTATCTAAATTTTTAATAATTGATGTAATGGTGCTGTTAGTATTGGAAGATTACTAATTACTTTATTAAAATTTATTGATTGCTAATATTAGTTGGTAAGCTAATTACGGTGCAAGATTTACATAGTTTGCTATGCTGTAATGGTGAAGATACCCAGCGATTTACGTTGTTGGATATTAATTAAAATAATGTTATTTTAAGCATACTGATTTATATTATAAAACATACTGATGATTTATTTGATGAAACTTCTTCTGCGTAATTAATGTCTCAAGTCTGGCTGTAGGCAACATTGATTCCGCAAATGCAATAACAAAATTTATTTAAGGATTGTAGAGCTTAGAATAGACCCCAGTTCACTTTTTTGAGTTCAGGATAATTTAGATTCTTACCATACATTAATCTTTATTTTCCAACTACTCTTAAACTGACTTTAATTTCTTGTTGCTCAGAAATTTTACAAAAGAATTGCTTGATTTGACTTTATTAACTTATCAGATACTTTCGAATTGAGAATAGACTATCAATAGTGAAGTTTAAGAATAAGAATTTGAAATTTTGATTTCAATTACATCAAAAGTAAATAGTATCTGTGCTTAAAGATTCTTATCCTTGCTAAACAAATTAACCTCAATTTTAATGGCGATATTTAAATAATAAAATAGATTAAAATTAAACAGTACTATTAATATCAATGTATTAAAAGCACGCGAAATTTGATTTTATTATTCGATGTAATGAAATTATGTAAAAAGATTATACTTAATGTTTATTGGTAGTGGCTGAAAAGCAGTTACTTATCTCACTGTAACTTAATGATGCTTTATGGTGGGGCTGGCTGCTACATCCTTCCTCAACTTTTTCGGTATTTTCTAAACTACATTTTGTAATATTCTCCAAATTTAGTCTTTTTATATACAGTTACATAAACGATAGGTGAATGGAACTTGAACTTTAGGAATAATAGCAATGAGACTATTATTACAAATCGTGATGTAGAATGCCATTATTTTTTCAAATTCCTAGAATTTGAGACGTACGGTAATCACTGATCGGAAGCTTACAATATTTTCTCCGGAAACTTTAATTTAGAAAGGATAAGACATTTAAGCTTTTAAATTATTTTAAAAAATTTTATTGGCTTAAATTTCGAATTATGACAATAAAAAGTTAAAACTCCATTATCTATCTGACTTTTTATCTTACAGCACTTACCAAAATTATAGAGCTGTTCTATCGGAGCAATCTTTCATATACAGTTTTTGCTGCATCCTTACCATTATGCTAAATAAAACGAATAGTGTATGCGATGTAATTAATTATTCAACATTATTAACTTGTAGGAAAAATATATAAATAGTAAGAAATGACTGAATAATATTAAATTACAGCAATAAGTCAAGTCTGTTCTCTTCTAAATACAGTACGTAAAATTACATTAAATATTGCAATAATGGAGTAATTTAGTACAGATGTTTATACATTTAACCAGAATTCGCTTTTTAATCGTAATATCGTAAAAATATTCTCGTTTTCTTCAATAATTTCTATCATGGTATGGCTAAAAATAGATATAAGCTAGCATAGGTAAAAAACAAGTTCAATTTTTGCAACAGGCATTTTAGGAATTCGTGACTTCAGGCATAAAAAAATTAGTTTGCATTAAGTGCTTCTTCGTCTAAACTATGAACGCGAATTTAAAAAAATTCCAAAGAATTTTCGTTGCAGCAATATAAGTATCAATTGCCACAACGTAATGTATAATCTTACCTGTTTTATTTTAACAAAATTATGTAAAAGTTGTTAAAAATAGTACGATGTGAAATTGTAAAGCTATATACTTAGTATTCTATTCATACTGTAATTCTTAAAATCTAGCAGCTAATTCCAGTTATAAATACAGTAAGAAACTATGTTAAATTACGATAGAATGCAGCGCGAGTCGAAATAGTTTGATCTAGATTCTAATTTAAGATTATTGGTTT